TTTCACAAATAATCCGAAGACGGCACGGATAAGAATATGCGCGAGAGAGAATACGCTATTTCGGATGCGTGACTCTAAATAGTTTTCTATTCTCCGATCTAGAAACTCTACCAGACGAGAACGATACAGTACGTACAAGACGATACGTTAATTTCTACACTAGCGTGACAAAATTCGCGGCGACTGTCGGCATATCCGCGGGCGAGAGAGAGCCTCTTTTAATATACGCGCGGGAGAGAGCACGCGGTCGGCCGGGCGCCGGGATAAATTCTACGCGGAACGAGACTCTAAATTAAACTCTCAAAATCACGAAATTACCGGTGACTCTAATAACCGGCCGCGGCCGTGACACGCTTCTCTCCCGAATACGGTACTCACAAAAAGAAAGAAGTTAGCGGCTTTACAATATGAGATAGGGCCGTTCGTCTCACCGGTATCGCCGGGTCCTCGTGTGCTTCGGCATCCGCGCAGGAACCTCTCCTCTCTCGCACGTCTCGCCGAACAGTGACGAGCAAGAGGCCTGCCGGGATCACGCCGATACTAAATTTGGCATTTTCCACCCGTGGCGCTCCTTATCCTGGCAGGGCCGCCGGGTACCCCGCGGGGCCCTGCGAATTTTCTTGATGTAAATTTTCCCTCGCCGTTCCTCTATGTTTCCGCTTTGGGTTCCGGTATTCCTCTTTATGGGCCGTCGGGAAGACTCCTACGAGTGCACCTCTTTGCGATTCCTCCCAAAAATCCGCCAGATCGATTGTTTGATCGATGGTGGGATTTCGGTGTATCCGGATCTGCGGGGCTCGAGGCAGGATGTCTCCCGCGCCTTTCGTTCCCGGGGCTCTCTCGCCTCTCGCGAGAGAGTGGCCTTCCCCGTCTCGGGCCGGAATCTCTGCGGAAGAAGGAACATTTTACGGCGGGATTCAGGTTCTTAACGGGATGGGCAAGCCAAAAATTTGGTGCGAAAATAATATTTACCGGGCGTGATCCGGACTTGGTGGCTCCTGCTCGGTCCTCAATCGTCCTCTTCGTCCTCTCCGTCCTCTCACTCTTTCTCTCTATTGGTTTCCTCGGTTGAGACACGTACCCTATGCAAAATTGCTCGCCGAAAACGCCAAAAATCGCTCAAACAAAAATCATACAAAAAGTAATTCGCGAAACGGATGCGCGAAGCGCATCCTCCGACGCGGTAGAAAACGCAAAATGATTGTTCGGGTGCTCTCTCTCTCTCAAAGATTGGCGAGAGAGCAAAGGTTCCCGAAGTTCCCGCCTTCCCGGCCGGGCCTTCGGCCCTTGTGACGGACAGTACAAAATGTCACGTCACAATATATATATATATATTAAAAAAGGCAAGTAATTTTATAATTTTAACTTACACCATGAGAATAAGATTAATAATTGTGAAGATTTTAAGATAAATTAATTGAGAGTAATCGTTATTGATTTGGAAAAAAAGAATTTCTCCTTTCACTCGCGCGTATCCCCTAGAATACAAGATAAACTATAAATTGCGATGAGGATTCGTGAAATGGATGATCGAGGACTTTATTCAACAAATCATTCGCCAAACTGACTTAACACAAAGAAAGTCAATTGGAATCTCTGCGATTGGAAGTTACTGAAGTCTGTCACCCTATTCCAAGATCTATGAAGTCTACATCTGAATTGGATTTTTCCTATTCCTGAATCTGTTCCTTGTCAACAAAAGAAGAAGAAGAAGACTGATGATAATCTTTTAATTCGATATACAAGAAGAAGCTTACAATTTCTTCTCTAACAATTTACAACATCAAGCCTTCTTATATAATATCACTTGAAGATACTCTGGCAGTATGATCAGTTCTTAACTATTCATCTGTTCCTTGTCAACAAAAAAAAAGAAGAAGAATTGATGCCGAAGAACATCTATTGCTGTCATGATGATGTTTGCTACTTAAATCATACGAGTATAAAATCGCTAGCTCAAGCAACATGGTGTTTACGACAAAAATAATCAAATATAACGAGTGGCTGAAAATATAAAATCCAAGCGCGACTCCTGCAAAAAGAAGAAACGTTACTCGTGAAATGCAATTATTAAATTGCATAAAAAATAAAAGAATTTAATATATTTTGTCACCATTTACAATCAAGATAAAGCAAAAAAATTTCATAATAAATATGCAGCTCATCTTATCTAAATTAAATAACGCAAAAATCCAGAAAATCTTAAAAATTTGCGTCGTTTGCAAATTTTTTTGAAGGAAGTGGACATAATCATACTTTCTTCGAATGAACAATTTTGTCAAGAACTAATTGTGGATCTCACTCATCGGATAGCTTTGTGCTGAGATAAATGATATTCAAAATCATCATCTTCAGGATGTTGCACGAAAAATTCGTCCAATGTGTACACGAAGCAAATTTCCAAGTCTACATCATCCAATTGATCAGTACCATGAAGAAATAAATAAATTTGTCTATTATGTCAAAAACGAGCAGCAATTTACGTCCGCGCTAAGATAATAAAAAAAATGAAACATCACACGTCCAGCAATATTATTCCATCGATAAGAATCCGACTATTATCTGCAAGATATTCTTTTTCGAACCATAATTGAGGAATGACAAATAATCTATAAGCTAATAAAAATGCTATTCTGACTATGAACGAGTCATCACAATTTTAGTTTGCGACGTGAAAGGAGAAATTTTGAAAAAATACAAGTAAAGAAAAATATTGCTTGCTCATTCAGTTCAGTAAGAAATTTGAGATATGAATTCGTTTTGTTATATATTTTTGTGCTTTATTTAATTTATTGCTTTTAATGTTAATGTAAATACATTTTGGTGAAGCAATAAAGAATGTAAATGCGAAAGAATGATGCGTGGCGCGAGAGAATATATTTATTTTATTTACTGAAACACGCAAATATTTAACTTGATAACAATTTCTTATCTGCTGCTTAGTTTCCATTAATAAGCATTTATTTATTTCTTATTTGCATTGCTGCAACTATAATGCTTAATTATAATGTCGCAGATTAGATAAGATGATCATATACATACATACATATATGTATACATAAATATCTCTCGTACAAGTTATCGACGTAATTGTCAAGTTGAATATTTGTATGCAAAATTAGAAATTTATAATCAAATTCGAATTCGATCTGATGCTGTTATTAAACTATTATACTTTAATAACGGCATTTTTCTTCTTTTTCCGCTTCGTTTCCTTAAAAAAATGTGCATGGTAATTTTTATCTGCACTTTATCACATAATTGTTGTCGTGCAACTTAAGGCAGATTTTTTCCAAATATCCGTGATCGATCCGATACGTTTTATGCCTAAAAATGTCTTGTTTGACCACCGAATGTGAACATAAACGCTGTTATGTAAAGCCACATTGTTGGCTTTACTGATATGTGGTTTATCCACCAAAAGAATTTTCTGCATACTCTGTTGCTGTAAGAAAATTCCACCTGTGGTATCGCCTGCAAAACGAATACTAAAATGTAATCGAACAATTTAAAATAATTGTTAATGTTTATTTTTTCAGCATTAATAGCAAATGTTAAATTATAAAGATTTATAAGAAACTTGAATATAATATATAAAAACTGTATTAAACTATTAAAAAAACCAGTGATAAAGTATAAAATATATAACTAAAAAGAGAAGAATATGCTTGACAGTTTTAAATTCAAGTGATAACATTTAGTCTATGAAAAGCTGAAATTATCTAAATAAATCGTATCCTTAATTTTTCGATTATTTTATTTATAGAATTGAATTTAAAATTAGTTAATGATATTTTAATAATTTGTTTATGTATATTTATATTTAATTCTTCTACATACATTAACAGTGGAATAATAAATAATTGCAATATGTATGCAATATAATTGATAATATAATGTAATTAATAGGTGAAAAATATAAATTTAAATGTAAAAGCTCAAAATTTCAATGAAATTGCCATAAAATAATTATAAAATTATAGACTTCTTGGAAGACTCGATATTTGATCCCGACATATTACGCGCGTTAAATATATAGATTTATAATTGTAAAAACCATATATAATAAATTAACCAATAAATTAAATACAATTTCGAAAAACTAATTGATTAATTATATTCTAAATATACCTTTTCTATTGATTTTGGAAACCACCTTTTCCACCTCTTCCTCGTCCTCTTCTTGGATCCCAATAGTAAGAGGAAGATGATAATTTAAACAGGAAATTCATAAATTTTGTTCTTGTCGCCTGACTCCTGCTCTCTTTCCTCTTGCTCTAAAATCTGTAATTAATAAATAATTAATTGTCTTATTCTCTATATATATATATAGAATAAACAATTATTTATTAATTACAGATTTTAGAGCACGAGGAAAGAGAGCAGAAGTCAGGCGACAAGAACAAAAATTTATGAATTTCCTGTTTAAATTATCATCTTCCTCTTACTATTGGGGTCCAAGAAGAGGACGAGGAAGAGGTGGAAAAGGTGGTTTCCAAAATCAATAGAAAAAGGTATATTTAGAATATAATTAATCAATTAGTTTTCGAAATTGTATTTAATTTATTGGTTAATTTATTATAATGGTTTTTACAATTATAAATTTAATATTAATATATTTGTTGGCATTTATTTGTTGGGCTCGACTTATTTAGTTATCCGTCGTCCGTCTTGTTATTGCGGGCATGTATTAGTATAATGCATTGTCTCGATATTTATATTCTTTTGTATTGTATGGCTTTTCCGTACGTGTTCATCCGTTTGTCGTCTGAGATTTTTGTCGAATTCGTGTCCTCGCGTGATTGGCGCGATTTGAAGCGTCGGTTATTTTGACGACGGTATATAAGACGACCGCCCGGTCGAGAGAGGCGCTCATTATTGATTCTTCTCCGCGTAATAAACAGTTTTCAACGCATCAAGAGTAATTTATTTTAAATATCACTCGCCCAACATATTAATATAATTATATTTTATATCAATGCAATATATATATATATATATTAGGTGCGCAACTAAGTACCCGCTGTTTGTCTATAGATGGCTCCAGCAGTAAGTGCTGGTCGATTTTGACATATCCAAAACGTCACGAGCCAAGCTTAGACATATGGTAAACAAACCGCTTTGACATGTTAATGATTTTGTTTTGGCGTCATATACTTTTAGTTGTGTGAAAATGTCTGATTTTGTACCAAATAATCGTCATTTGCGGGAAGTGTTGATTTTCTTATTTCATTCGAAGAAAACGGCGGCTGAAGCGCATCGAGAGCTCCAAAAAGTTTACGGAGATGCTGCTTTAAGTGAAACAACGTGCCGTGATTGGTTCCGTCGCTTCAAAGACGGTGATTTCGATGTTGACGACCGTCCGCGTGAAGGAAGGCCAAAACCTTCGAAGACGCTGAATTGGAGGCATTGCTCGATGAGGATCCATGCCAAACGCAAGAACAGCTTGCTTCAGCATTAGGAGTTACCCGCCAAGCCATTTCCAAGCGAGCAATACGAGCAGAGGCACGAAAAAGTGATTCTACTGCATGACAACGCTCGGCCTTATGTTGCCAAACCCGTTAAAACTTACGTGGAAACGCTCAAATGAGAAGTCCTACCCCACCCGCCATATTCCCCAGATATTGCGCCGTCCGATTATTACTTGTTCCGTTCGATGGCACATGGTCTGGCTGATCAGCAGTTCCGCTCATATGAAGACATCAACAAATGGCTTGATTCGTGGATAGCCTCAAAAGACGAATACTTTTACCGTAACGGTATTCGAGCTCTGCCAGAAAGATGGGAAAAAGTTGTGGCTAACGATGGGCAATAAATACTTTGAATGATTCAATTTGTAACCATTTTTTCACAATAAAGTTGCATTTTCATAAAAAAACAGCGAGAACTTAGTTGCGCACCTAATATATGTATGTTCTTAACGCAGACGAAATAAACACCGTCAATCTTGGTAAATATGCTTCCATGGTATACCTGACGAACCTGGTGGTCTGAGGCCTCTGTGTTGAAGCTACTGCTGAATTATTTGCCACCGAAGAGGTCCAGTTGGCTGGAGACTCTCAAGCGCAAGAGAGAGTTGTATGACACTTTTATTGAAGATCTCATTGTTATGCCGGGAGAATCTAATGCGGATGACAAAGAAAGAGTCGATGTGACGTTACATGATCATCCTCTCAACTTAAATCCGGATAGTAAATGGCAAATGTACTTTAAGGATAATGAAGTTCTCCTCCAGATCGATAAAAATGTTAGACGACTATGTCCAGACATATCATTTTTTCAACAAGGCACTGATTATCCATGTCAGAAAATAGTCAATGCTAATGACCAGCAACGTTTACATAATAGAGTTCAACACATTGTACTAATTACGCGCCATTGGCTGAAGGCGGTGAAGCGCATTGGGAAGTTTTAGAGAGAATACTCTTTTTATACGCCAAGGTTGAATCCTGGTCAAGGTTACGTGTAGGGTATGAATGAAATAGTCGGACCTATATATCACGCATTTGCTTGTGATCCAGATCCAACATGGAGAAAACACGCCGAAGCAGACACTTTCTTCTGTTTTACCAATCTAATGGCTGAAATACGTGATTTTTTTATAAAGACGTTGGATGAAGCTGAATTTGGAATTAATTCAATGATGAGTAAATTGACAAATCAAGTTAGAGCTAATGATCCTGACGTTTGGCTGCGTCTGCATCAACAAGAATTGTGTCCGCAATATTACAGCTTTAGATGGTTGACGCTTCTTCTTTCGCAAGAATTTCCTCTTCCGGATGTTATAAGGATATGGGATTCCTTGTTTGCTGATGAGAATAGATTCAGTTTTCTTATACATATCTGCTGTGCCATGATTCTATTATTAAGGGACCAGTTGCTGGTTGGCGATTTTGCTACGAATGTTAAACTCCTACAGAATTTTCCATCAATGGACATTCAAATCGTGCTCTCTAAAGCGGCTGCTTTGGCGGGCAAGACTTTATAGTTTTTGTAATGATTATTTTTCTTGATTAAGTCGTAAATGAGCTGCAGTGATTTTTCGACATGTCGAATATTGTGATCTTTGCCTCTCCTCTTTCTGTGCTGTCCGCGATATACACATAAATTTATACATCATCATAAATGATATATAAAGTGCATATAATTTGTATATTGCTTTGACTCGCATTTATGATTTTATGTTAATGGCAGAATGATTCCGAGACAAAATAACTAAATTAAGTGATCTCTTCTGGATGTTCCTAGTCTTCAAAGGGAACGTTCAGACTCAAGAAAGGAAGAGTCAGAGGAAAGACGTAACTACTGATTTTGTTGAATGACGCCAAACGGTGCGCCTGTCCGATCCGAACGAACGTTTCAAGGCCCAAATAGGTCAACGACCGAGGAGGTCGCTATTACTCTATTAAGAGAATTTAATCTCTTTTGCTCGGAATGGGACCTTGTGCGACTTTTGGTTTGGAAAGGAATAAGAGTGGGGGTTTCATTTATTTCAATTGAATAGATGCAAATTGATAGGTAGAATAAATACCCAGATAGCCAAATGTCAGCAATATGTCGACAGTATTATAGCAGATCCAATCATGAGTTTACAGCAGATTTCTATCCACTGTTTCCGCAATTGCTTACCTTCTATCAAGCATAAGCTGTTGACATAGTATAAAGGCATAAATGCAACAAAAATTAAGCATGACTGTCCATTATACCGTGTCGGTAAAAATATAGTAAATATCAAGCGAGAGCTGCTATATCAGTTATTGATGGTAAAATGTATTAGAAATGGAATATGTTTTGCTATCACAATGCGATGACATAAATACAGCAAGAATAGAACATACTTGTCAAAACAACTATTGACGGCAGAAACATGGCAAAAATCGTGTACGACTTGTCGTCATAACGTCACGGCGGAATCGCAGCAAAAATAGATTAGGGAATATTACACAGGATGTCCTAAAAATTACATAATTAATATGTATATGCATATTGATTTTAAAATGAAATCGATGTGATTGGAAGAAATTTTTCACTTTTCACATTTTCACTTTAGAAAAAATTACACAATCGACTCCCAGTTGTTAGTCGTTATAAGCCGAGTAAAAAAATTATCATTTTTCATCCAATCATTAATTATAGCGCATGTAATAATGCATTTATATTAAATGCGCTATAATTAATTTGATGCATGCTATAATTAATGATGATTATTAAATACGCTATAATAATGATTTAATGAAAAATTTCAGAGAACTTTTTCACTTGTATTGTAACGATGACATTATACACTATATACATACATACATTATACATATACATAATGCTTATTGCGCAACTTTTAGGACATACTGTACTAATATATCTAAAAATATATATATTCACATAATTAATTTCAATAATATTATTACTTATTTTCCCTAGCAAGTTTCTATAGGATACGTAACATATTCTATGTATAATTTGCTACGGAAATGGAACGAATTAATGACGGGCAGTGTACAGTAAAAAATTATTTTTAATTATGAATGTATTAAACTTCAAATTAATCTATTTTAACATATATTATATTGCATATATTACTTTATAATATAATAAGAATTTACAATATAATAAGAATTTTATAATATAAGAATTTTTTTGACAATAAAAAACACAATAAATCAACTATTTCTTCACTCTGTGAATTACAAATCAGATTAATCTTTGGTTACCAAATAAAAAATCCATGTTTTTATTTTATACATAATTTTAAATTAAAATATCCGATAAAATAAGATGTCTTGCAATGTCCGATCAAATAAGATGTCTTGAGATGTCTCTTCGTTCCTCTTTCCTTTTTCAATAACTATCGATTTACCTGCAAATGATATGATAAACATCCGTTTATTAACCGTTTATTCATCGACAGATCATTGATAGAAACTGAACAATATGTACATTACCTTCATTTTAATCATTTTCTTCCTCTGACATTGAATTAGAGGATCGCGAGCGCTGTTCGTTTTTATTTTCTGCGTTATTCCAGTAATTTTGTGCTTCTCTATTACGTTGCTCGTGTTCTTTTGGTTTGCGGATACTAGTACGATATCGCTGCTTCGCTGATCGTAATGCTTCTCTCGCATTAGCTTGGAATTCTGCTCTAGTAGGTTTTGAAAACTGTTGATTGTTACAAACAGCATCTATAAATAAAATATAATATATAAAGTTGTGATACCAATAATATTACAATGGAACAATTATATATGTTTTAACTGAAAACATCATACCATATATCGCTAATATTATACGCGAATTATATAGAGGGGTAGTATATTTTCTTCCCGACCAAGCCATGTTAATTCCTTCGTTACGTAATCTTTTATACCTTCTTTGAAAGAAAGATTAATTGCTTCTTTTACGGTAAATCCACCCACATTTACAAAATAACTCACCTATAAAAAATAAAAACTAAATAGTATCTATCTGACTGTGCGCGCGCACACGGCACACACACACATGCACATGACAGTGTATCTAAATTCTCATACAGTTGAAGAGTTCATTAAAAAAAGTCATATCTCATAAATGTAGGTACAAAAAATCAATATTTAAATATGAATTTAAGACAATTTGAAAATAAACTTTAATTTAATAGCGTATTTTGAAAATTAATTAAAATAAAAAAGTTTTTATATAAAAAAGGTATAAAAATCATTAGCCATTATTTCTAATTTAGAATTTTATTTTTGTAAACTTCATAATTTTTTTAAGTGAACTTTAAAGTAGATTACTAATAAATAAAATTTTATTTGAAAGTAAAAAAATTTAATTTAATATATGTATTTCTATAAACTAAAAATCTTCATATTTTTATCGGTTATAATTTAAGAATTGTTGTCACTTTTTAATTTTTTTATGAAGTTTCAATAAAGTAACATTGAGAATTTTGCTATAAAAATTACGGAATAATACGCTTTTCCAGAATAATGTTAAAATAATTGGTAATTGAAATATTTATATTGCATAAATATTATTTTTTTTAGAGAAATGTTATATCAATTTAAATGTTTCATTTCAATGAAGTTATACTTTACATAAAGTAAAAAAAATTAGTACAAATCTATGTGCACACAAACATATAACAGTCATAAAGAATGTTATTATTTAAGTTATCTCACTTACATAATTGTTGCTATATAGAAGTGCACGTGTCTTGCATAGGAGGGCCATGCTGAAGTACATTATATTTTTATATTAAAATTGATGATAAAAACTTATATTACTTTAATAAAGCTAAAAATCTTGTGTTTAATATTATATGTACATAGTTGTTAAAATGTATATATATACATATATACACATTCAACATTTATATTTGCATATAATATATATATATATATATATGCAAATATAAATGTTGAATGCTATAAAGTATATAATTTGATAATATGACTAACAAATAGTAAGTTACATTGCAAATAAAACTTAAAAAAATTTTAATATAGTCAATGAAAAAATAATTGATAATGCTTTCAATAGATAGTAATTTATGATACAAATTTGGAATGATTAGTCATTTATTAATTTCATTCTATTTTAAATGTCGTTTTTACATATTTATTAATATACGCGAAATATTTTAGTAGTATAATGGCAGGTATGGCCCGTCAAAACAAACCCCCACCACCGACCCGTCTGGCGCCGGGTCTTATATTTCTCCCCCACCACCGGCGTCTGGCTTTTCGAGTGTGGGTGTTAGGGGGAAAGGGTGTTGGGGGAAAAAAAATGGCGACTGGCCCCGAAAGGTGGGATGAGAATTTTTATTTTTATT